AGACCTGGGTTGGGTATTACAAGCTGTACTTCAAAAGGAGGAGTTTGGAGTGACATCTAAACTGTTGTATCTGAGTGCCTCTGCAAAGACAAGTGATTATATGTGAATGATGAATAACTTTCCATTACATGTTCTCTGTTCTTTCATCACTTCTTGTTCATCATGTTAAGAAAGAAATATTAAGTGAAAACCTTATTTTTTTTTTTTTTATTGTGAATAATTATAGCTGGAGGCAGTGGAGATGTCATGTCTGAGGGCAAATGTGTGGGGTGTGAATATAATGCAGAGAATTCGTAGTTTGGAAGTTAGGAGGAGGTGCGGGATTACCAAAACTGTTGTCCAGAGGGCTGAGGAAGGGTTGTTGAGGTGGTTCGGACATTGTAGAGTGGAAATGGGAGCGGAAACAGAATGACTTCAAGAGTGATATCAGTCTGTAGTGGAAGGAAGGCGGCTGGTTAGGGGTCTGGCCTAGGAAGGGTTGGAGGGGAGGGGGTAAAAGAGGTTTTGTTGTGCGAGGGGCATGGACTTCCAGAGGCATGCTGTGAGCGTGTTTGATAGGAGTGAATGGAGACAAATGGTTTTAATACTTGAGTGATGTTGGAGTGTGTTGCAAAGTAAGCATTTATGAAGGGATTCAGGGAAACGGCAGGCCGGACTTGAGTCCTGGGAGAGGGAACGTACAGTGCTGCACTCTGAAGGAGTGGGTGTTAATGTTGCAGTTTAAAAACTGTAGTGTAAAAGACCTTCTGCAGACAGTGATGGAGTGAATGATGGTTGAAAGTTTTTCTTTTTCGGGCCACCCTGCCTTGGTGGGAGTCGGCCGGTGTGATAATAATAAAAAAATAATTAATTATCATAAGACTCCCTCTTGCCTCCTATCAGTCAATGAGGGCATTATCTTTTTTATTTTTTTATTACATTAAACCTATATGGGCTCAAATGCCTGGGAACTGGGAGGTAATCCGGTTTGATCCACACGAAGGGGTATCTCCAGCTCCTTAGATCGTGAGCACTTCACTAGCATTAAGGTACCCCATTAAAAAAAAAAAGGTTAACCTTTGTAACTTCGGGTAAATTATTATTATAATCAAGGGGAAGCGCTAAACCTGGAGGATTATACAGCGCCTGGGGGGGGGGGAGGGGATGTGGAAGGTATTCAGGCAACTGGAGCACAGATCCAATTTCCTAAATCAAGAGCCCCTCACCAACATCAAGGAACCTTCCTTGAGGGGAAACTTTGGGTAAAATTTTGTATTTCAGTGGACTTTTTCTAGCTTGTCCCCATGTTATTTTAAGTACAAAAACTATACACATTACTGCTGCATCTGACATATTTTGTGAAGAGCTTTTTCTTTACCATTTCCCCCAGTCATATATCTAAAAGATTTTTTAAAGTTTACCATTGTACTATAAGAGTTTATTAAGATTTAATTAATGTGATCTTATGTCAATGAAGACTCAAAAAAAAATTTGTTAGTATGGATGGCAATACACACTTGACCCAAAATTCTGGTCGAAGAAACTTGTTATATCAAGAACTCAATTACTGTAATATTTAAAAAGAATTGCTAACCCTGTGTGATCCCCAAATCAAATCTTAAAAGTATATGCAAGAAAAATCTATTGAATTAATGCTTTCTGTCAATTGGTTACAGTATTAAGACTGTAGTTATAGTGTGCAACCAAATCCTCAATACACATCAAATATTATTTCCTATGTTAACTGGGTCATTTAATGTTCTTGTCAGAAGTGATCCTCTTAACATAGCTTGCTTTCTAAAATTTATGTCAGTATTTTTTTTTTTAATATATTACCCGAGTTCTAGACTAGCAATGAATATTAACTTTTGAAATCAATCAATTTGGGAAGGTATACTCAAAATACTCGTCTTATGGAAGATGCAGGATTTTGTTGAGTACTTTACATCAATAATAATTAAATAACTGGTACAGTATTGGTAACTAGTGTATCCAAATTTTGTCATGCTTGTGTGAATGCAGTGTTATTTGATTGTAAAGAAAATCTGCCTGTTGTCACTGATTTTATGTTTTTAGAAAAAACTTCTAAATGGCCACATTCATAAAGAAAGCACATGACATTGTGTTATAGATGCACTATATGCTCTTATAGTCAGTCATGTACATATAATGTATATTCCATGGATGTATACTGTATTTATTTCATGTAAAAAGTTATTTCAAGGAAAATTAACATTTTTGTAAGACTTTATAAAATATACAAACTTTAAGTTTATACAGAATTTATTATATATACCTAACCTCTTATACATACATCATTATGAGAATGAATATTAACGTATCCATGCACAATACATATAATTATTATATTTGCAAGAAAATTTTAAACCATGAAAGTTAGAAAACAAGTGGGGAATAAAATAAGGGCAATCGGGTGTGGTCAAAGGAAAGGGAGGGTAGTTCAGATTCCTAGGATCAAGAGCTCTTCATCTATGAAGTTAAAGTATAATGTATATAAATTTAAGGGTGTAGTTTTGTAACTGTAGTGTAAGCACTCCTCTGCCAAGACTGATGTAATGAAAGTTTTTCTTTTTTGGGCCATCCTGCCTTGGTGGGAAACAGCCGATGTGTTAGTAAAATAAATATCTCATGTATAGACAGTTTGAGGATAGCAGTGTTTTCACAGTAATCCCACAAGGCAAAGGAGGTAATTATGCTTGATCTCAAGGGACAGATGATACCAATTTTAGGCAGATACTAATATCAGGATAGGTTGATGCAGTGAATTATCACAATAAAAAATAAGCGCCAAACCCACAAGATAATATTTCTAGAACTTAATACTGTAGATCTCAATCGAACTGGAAAAAAAAAAAAAACAACAGATCTGTCTAATAGTAATCTAAAGCCAAGACAACAGTGTGTAAGTGTTCACTATGTATCTAACAGAATTCTTGCCTTCATATTAAGAAAAATAACAGGAATCTATACATCATTGGTTAGGTCTTATATAGGATGGTAACATGTTAAAAGAACTCTTCTGTTCTTTTCTCTCCATATTGACTCTCTTGGCTTTTCTTAATTTATCTCTATATGTCCATCTGGCATCTTACTTTTATTCCCTTGGAAAGTTCTCTTCTATGTTTGTAAGCTGTATTACCTAATATAGGTTCACACTCACTTTTTCTTCTAATCTCATTCTTGTGCTACTGCGATCGACACTGATGGTTCTAAATCTTCTGAAGATGTTGGATATTCATCAGTTATACAGGGTCATTTATTAAACTAGTATTTACACAGCTGAGTTGTATGCAATTCTCATGGCCCTCAATAAGTATGGCATCAATGCCTACCTCAATATTTGTAATAATTTTTAGACAGTGCATTACAAGCTATCCAGAAATTTGATTCCCCCTTTTATCCCATTTCTAAAAAAATGTAGACATTTTTTGTGTACGGGAATGTAAAAGTTTGGGCAGATCCACTGTTCAGTCTCCCAGTTCATGCCTCATTTCATATAGGGATATTTTTCAGTTTAAAAACCACTGGAGGTCTGAATTAGTCTACAGTAATTGATTCTGTCAAGTATATTTAGGTTTCTGGTGATTGTCTTAAGGAGACCACTCCAGGTTATTTGGAAAAATGTTTGGCACCACTTTGAGATTTCCCCAAGTTATCAGTTTGCCATCTCTTGATTTCCGTGTCAACAGACATGCGAATTTACCTCCAAGTCTTCATGTTTAATTTACTCTCCCTAACTCTTACTGTATGTCCAAACCTTTTGACTTTTTATCTTTTTTTCCCTCCTACCCCCTTTCATTTTAACTACTATTGCACATCCTTCCCCAAATTAAACTGTATAGCCCCCTTTTGGGTTAGCGCTTCTTTTGATTATAAAAATAAAAATTCCCCAAATTGTCTTGACCTTTTCATATTCCCGAATAGTATTGTAGAACTTACTCAACCCCGTCAGATCTTTGGTAAATATTTAGCAGGGGTGGGTCCTTATTCAAAAAATAATGGGAAAAAATAACAATATAAAAATAAACATTTTTTTTAAAAAATTCTGTAAAATAATAAATCTAAGAATTAAAAATACTTGAAAAAAAAAATGAAATTAATAGATTGTCATTTGGCACGATTGAAAAATTGCGGGACAAATTTTATCAACATAAATTAATTTAACACTTTTAGTTTGCAGGGGTGGGGGGGGGGAGGATCCCCCCTTTTCGTTTTACGGGGGACTTCCCTTCATTTGTGCCCAAATTTTTTTTCTTGCTACAAGCTATGTGTTTGTGTTGTGTTTTGATCTTTTAATTACCATACCCCGATTGCCAAGCAATATTACACTCGGTAGCTACCCTGTTGTTTAAAGTGACAAAAAAGGAAAAGCATTTAAGTCTTGAATTTATGAAAAAAAAATGGTATTTAAAGAAAGTAACCCGTGGATAATGAAGTCGCTTTTTGCACATGAAATGAGGGAAATGGAGTTTGTGAGTTTAATACTTTAAAATTTAAACTTTTTCACTGAAAAGGACCCTGAAATTGGTGTCTGGCATTTTGATGCCTTTTGCAATTTTATATTAAAATTACTGAAAGGGGAACATAGAACGAAATCCCTTACGAATTTATGCACACTCTAGTACAACCATCAACTTTAGTACCAGAACCCCTACCCTCCACCTCAGCCCACAGCATAACTCTTCACAATCATACACCAGTACCCACAACTTTTGTTATTTAAGGTAAGAAATATTATTTCTGTTGCATTTGTAATCTTAAGCAGTAAAGACAACATAATACATCACTACAGTTACATATTCACTTATTTTTGCAAGATGTGGAGGCCTAAAAAAAATTGTTTGAGGCTCCCAGGAATGTAACCCTATTCTTCCATAAGTTCTCCAGTTCATCTAACACGGCATTTTCAGGAACGTAACTACCCTGTTAAATGATGGTCAAGACTCTCAAACAACTGTTCCCACAATACAATTCTGCCAAGAGGTGACCTTATCCTCTGATCACTTAAGTGTTGAAGACGTTGGATAGCCACTTTTATCACCACAGTGTTGTAGACTGCGAGTAGCCCGACAAGACACCAGAACACTGGGTAGCTGGTTGGGGTGATCGGTTGTGTCTATTGGTGGGGACGTACTCTGGTAGATAATTCGGTCTCGTTCAATGCTCTGGATCTTTGCCCGATACCTGTTGTCCTTATCGTAACCTCGCCCGAGTCGGATGACCCACGCCGACACAACAAGGCTAAAATGAATAAATAAATACAGTTACAACCTGCTTGCTGAATCACTCACATGATAGGCGTATAGCCTTTAAAGAAATGGAGAGGATTGAAAAATGACTAAATTCAAAGGCAGGAGGAATAAACACAAGTGTACAGCCCTAAATAAGAGTGAAGCTCTTATTAAGAGAGATTCAAAATAGAATAAAAGATACAGGAGTGGAACGCATACTTACAGGTTTGATGGAAGCAGCCAGTCAAGTGATTTCTCCACTGGTTGGAGGTGTATACATCACATCTCACCGGGTGTAGAAAAGGGAAGGGGGATAGCAGGAGCTAGACTAGCATACTGCCAAACAAACTACCATCACCGTACATTCATACTTTCCCTACTCCTATATATTGAACTTTTCCCTCACAGTATACAATACTACCAACAAGATGAAAATTAGACACGTGCAACATCCGGGTATCTTTAAAGTAGATGTTTTGCCATCCAGTGACTATAAATACAAATTTTAGGACAAAATTTGAACAGTAAATTATATACAAAAGATGAGGCAATCAGTCCCTCAGCCTTAGAGTTGGTGTAAAGACCACTGTAGTCGTGTTCTTCACACCAACTACTACTACTAATAGTTATAATACAGCCTCTCCTCACTTAACAACGGAGATAGGGACCTACGACCCCGTCAGTAGACCTCTGTGCCAGCCTTCACCCGAGTATCAGTGACAAATTTCCCGTTCTCTCTGGGACGCTTGTCCTCATCTATTTTGCCCGCCGGGGGCACTACAGAAGGGGCACCTGTTCATCGGCTCACTTTAGCCAGCTCCATTTTTTTTTCGTTCTGCGGAAAATTCTTTAACGGTCTTTGGTGGGAAGCCGGTTACTTAACTCAGGCGAGTGTGGGCGTCCCTCTCTGCTGGGGCTTGGCAAGGGGGTCCACCGGATCTAATTGGAAACTTCAAGTTTCTATCTCTATTTACAAAGGAACTTTTGTTCCTTTTCTCTCATCGCCCAGCCTTGGGCAACAATTTTTTCTTGTACCATCGAGAAACCGGGCTTGATACGGCTTATGCTGTCAGTGGCCCTGATAAACCCAACAAAGAAAGAAAGACCCCGTCGGTAAATGAATTCATCGCCAAACGAGGAGCATACTATAATGCTAGTGGATTTGTGTCAACAATCTTTGATATTGTTTTAATATCACCTTTACACCATTTATAACATTTCTGGTATATTTTTAAATGTTTATACAGCAGTGTATATTGTAATAAACAGAATTGAGGAAATCAGTTCTAATATGCATTATTTAGATACAAATACTGGTCAGAGAGCCCATCGTAAGTCTGAGGCGTCGGTAAACAAGTACGTCGCTAAGTGAGGAGAGGCTGTATCTATTTTACTAAGTACATGATACAACTGCAACAAACTTAGTTGATATTATTGGAATACTTTATGGAAAACCCTGGGTTAAGTGCTTAGTTTTGATTATAATAATAATAATAATAATATAGAAAGGTCCTGGGACTCTGAAGATCATGTTGAGAGAAATAAAGTTCAATATATGTTGTAGGCATTTTCTTCATACATTATATAAAAATAAAACATTACCGAAAAGCTAAGCAAATGTTACAAAATTCAGTAATTTTATTCCAAACATTTGGAAACTGGTTATGCAGAACGTTTCGAGCAGTAACCTGATATTAAAATATGCACTGATAACTTATATTATTTGTGGATCAATGTGTGTCCCAACCTTATATGCAATTGTTTTATCACTGGTAGAATACACTGATAAGTATGTTAATAAGACAATATACAATTTATAACATTTTATTTAAAAGACATTTGGCCCACCAGAAACTTTTATTGCTCCCTGATGGAAGGAAAGTTTTCTCAATGTAATACAATAAAGAGTATATTGTGCTTTATTAATATAAACAACTAATTTGCTAGTCAAATAACTTTCTACAAATACTGCAGGAATGTAACTGCTATGTATGCATGGAACATGCAAATTTATGGGACACGATAATTACGAAGACAACAGAAGTCACTTGAGCAAGTTAGAGTATGTGTACTCACCTAGTGGTTACAGGGTTGAGTCATAACTCCTGGCCCCACCTCTTCACTGGCTGCTACTAGGTCTCACTCCCTGAACCACGAGCTTTATCATACCTCTGCTGAAAGCTATGAATGGATCCTGCCTCCACTACATCGCTTCTCAAACTATTCCACTTCCTGACTACCCTGTGACTGAAGAAATACTTCCTAACATCCCTGTGATTCATCTAAGTCGTCAACTTCCAACTGTGTCCCATCTCTGGAACATTCAGTCTCTGTCCACCTTGTCAATTTCTTGCAGTATTTTATATGTCGTTATCATGTCCCCCCTCTCTCTCCTGTCGTCAGGTCGATTTCCCTTAGCCTCTCCTCGTAGGACATACCCCCTAGCTCTGGGACTAGTCTTATTGCAAACCTTTGCACTTTCTCTAGTTTCTTTACATGTTTGACTAGATGTGGGTTCCAAACTGGTGCCACATACTCCAATACAGTGGACCCTCGGCTAACGATATTAATCCATTCCTGAAAGCTCATCATTAGACAAAATTATCGTTAGCTGAATTAATTTTCCACATAAGAAATAATGGAAATCAAATTAATCCATTCCTGACACCTCAAAGTATGAAAAACAAATTTTTTTATACATGACACTTACCTTTATTGAAGATCTGGTGATGATTGATGGGATGGGAGGAGGGGAAATTGTGGAAGTTATTGTTTGGAAGGGAAATCCCCTTCCTGAGGACTTGAGGTAGCAAGTTCTTTTCCGGGTTACTTCCCTTCTTTTAATGCCACTAGGACCAGCTTGAGAGTCACTGGACCTCTGTCGCACAACAAATCTGTCCATAGAGCTCTGTACCTCGCGTTCCTTTAAGATTTGCCTAAAATGGGCCACAACATTGTCACTGTAATAGTCATCAGCATGGCCTGCAATAGCTGTGTTAGGGTGATTTTCATCCATAAAGGTTTGCAGTTCAACCCACTTTGCACACATTTCCTTAATCTTTGAAGCAGGCAACTTCTTCAGTTTCTCTTCCCCCTCCTCTGAAGCAGTTTCCTCAGGTCTGGCCTCTTGCTGTTGAAGATGCTCTTGCAGCTCATCAGTGGTTAGTTCTTCATTGTCCTCCTCCACATCCTCCCCACTAACCTCCAACCCCAAAGACTTTCCCAATGCCACAATAGTTTCCACAACTGGCATAGGCTTCTCAGGGTTAGCCCCAAACCCTTCAAAATCCCTCTCTTCTACATATTCTGGCCACAATTTCCTGCAAGCAGAGTTCAAGGTCCTCTTAGTCACTCCCTCCCAAGCCTTACCTATAAGGTTTACACAACTGAGGATACTAAAGTGATCTTTCCAAAACTCTCTTAGGGTCAATCGAGTGTCTGAGGTCACTTCAAAGCACTTTTGAAACAGCTTTTGTGTAGAGTTTTTTTGAAGTTTGAAATGACCTGCTGGTCCATGGGCTGCAGGAGAGGAGTGGTATTAGGAGGCAAAAACTTCACTTTGATATAACTCATGTCCCCAGAAATTCGCTCTGCCAAGTCTGAAGGATGACCAGAAGCATTGTCTAATACCAGGAGGCACTTAAGGTCCAATTTATTTTCCAGGAGGTAATTTTTCACAGTGGGGGCAAACACATGGTGAAACCAGTCAAAGAAAAAATCCCTAGTGACCCATGCCTAACTGTTTGCCCTCCACAGCACACACAAATTAGCCTTGAGGACATTGTTTTTCCTGAACACTCTGAGAGTTTCAGAGTGATACACCAATAAAGGCTTCACTTTGCAATCTCCACTAGCATTACCACACAACAAAAGAGTAAGCCCTGGTGTTCCTTTTCCTTCTGAGTAATGTAGGTCCTGTTTGGCATTTTCTTCCAAAACAGGCCTGTTTCGTCACAATTGTTGGGGTTTCAATCCTTCAGCCTCTATGTACTCCTTGAATTCCTGCACATATTTTTCAGCCGCTTTTTGGTCCGAACTGGAGGCCTCACCATGCCTTATCACACTATGTATGCCACTATGATTCTTAAATCTCTCAAACTAACCTTTGCTGGCCTTAAATTCACTCACATCGCCACTAGTTACAGGCATTTTTTTAATTAAATCGTCATGCAACTTCCTAGCCTTTTCACATATGATCGCTTGAGAGATGCTATCTCCTGCTATCTGTTTTTCGTTTATCCACACCAATAACAGTCTCTCAACATATTCGAGTACTTGCAATCTCTGTTTTGAAAACAAACTTGCACCTTTTGCAAGAACAGCTTCCTTGATTGCCATTTTGTTGGTCAAGATAGTAGGGATGGTTGATTGAGGTTTGGTATACAACCTGGCCAGCTCCGAGTCACGCACTCAACTTTCGTACTTTGCAATTATCTCTCTTCATTTCCATACTAATTCTCACCCTTTTTACCACAGGGTTGGCACTAGAAGCTTTCTTGGCACCCATGACTTACTTTGCAGTTACAAGCACTAAAAACACTGTGATAATATGAAATGTACCGAATGTATGCATAGATGCGACTGCACTGGCTGGCTTGTAAACACTGGCACACACGGGGCAGCTGAGGTGTGCTCAGGCCACACGTGGATGCGTACCGGACGAATCACGTTGGGCGAGTTTTTTTTATCATTGGCCAGGCCAAAATTTTTATGCTCAAACACTTCATTGGGCGGATTTAATATTATGCGATGCGTTCATTAGCCGAGGGTTCACTGTATAGCCCTAACGTACGTGGTGTACAGGGTCTTGAACGATTCCTTATAAAGATGGCGGAATGCTGTTCTTAGGTTTGCTAGGCGCCCATGTGCTGCAGCAGTAATTTGGTTGATGTGCGCCTCAGGAGATGTGCCTTGTGTTATTCACCCCAAGATCTTTTTCCTCGAGTGAGGGTTGTAGGCTCTGGCCCTCTAGACTGTACTCCTTCCCCAATCTTCATGACTTTGCATTTG